ACGTAGTGGTTACTAGTCTGCGTCCCATTCCTTAATCATTAGCTAAACAGTTGATTAACATTGGGATTAACCAGTGGATACCTCAGTAGACATCGCCACTTCAGTTGGAGTTGGAGGAAGCAGACAGAATTCCGATCCCACATGGCACACTTGCATAGCTGTATTTCGTTGGGCCCAGTCATTTCTTCCATAGAAATAGATCACTTGAGTTCTGCATTACATCAAAGGACGGCGGCTTCGCCGGAACCGGAACTGCCTTGTTGTTCCGGCGGTGCTTGCCGGGGGTGTCTGGCTGGCTTGGGGTGTGTTCCGGTGCATGTGCGGACGTCGGGGTGGCGGCCTTGCATTCGGTGACATCGCGACTTGTGTGGCAATGATGATGATGGCTTGAGGAGCGAGTGCGGTCATGGCATGCCCTTTGTTGTCGAGCGTCCGATGTGTCCGTGAGCATTAACTCGGAGCTATAGCAGAGCCGGGCGGCACGGGACAACGATGCCATCTGATGAACAGGTTGGGCCTGGTTGATGCAAGCGGCACTTGTTTCTCCTGCAAGGCCTATTACTAAAGTTGGAGTGAATAGCAAAAAACTATCACATTACGGGCTATCGTTTCGAAAAACTATCGTTTTTTTAAATTTTTAAAAAAACTACCACAAAAGTGGCTGGCTGTTCCAAAAAACCCAAGTGGCCGAACGGTTAAGTTTTAACTGGGGTTATGACATGTGGGGCCCGCCCGTCAGGGTTTTGTCGGCCACAGTGCTCACGGCGCGCGGGTGACGGCCGTTAGGGCGCACGGGCCGTCCCGACCAGGTCAAAACGGCCGCCCCCTCACTCTGTCTCCCTCGCGCTCACTCACTCTCACTCTCCCCCTCGCTCTGTTTCCCCTGGCCGAGCTCTCCATCGTCGCCGACCACCTCAGTTCCTCGTCGCCGGCCAGGATGCCTTCTTGGAATGATGGGGATGAGAGCTCCGACGACAGCATGGGGGGCAACCTAATGGACATGGAGTACTTTGTAAGCCTCATCCTCCTCTCTGTCATTATCTAGGGTTAGGATTAGGGTTGAATCGATTTGGGAATGAGGGTTGATGAGCTGTATATTTGTATGGATGGATTCGTTTGGTTTGGTTATCTATTAGTTTTGATCTAGGGTATGGATGGCACTGTGATGTCTGATCTGACCTTGAGCAAGGCAAAGCTTGACTCAAGTTGAACTAGTTGATGCATTGGTTCTGATCTACCTTTTACTGCATGTACGACACACCTAACACCATCCCTGAGCCACTCTGGTGTGGTGCTCCTATGGAGGAAGTTGCCAAGTGTACTCTGCACGATATGAAGCCTAGGAAGTGTGTTGCTTTTGAAGGTGCTAACACTGGGAGGAGGTTTTATGGATGCCCTGTTCAGGTGAGTAATTGAGTATGCTGGGTGGATTCAGTTATGCCCAGTGGATTCAGTTATGCCCAGTGGTTACTGAATTTGTATATTAACTCTGTTTGAACTGAATTTAGTACTGAATTTATGGTTACATGTCCTCCTTGTGTACCAATCCTCTTTTTGAATTGAAGTTAGAACTGAATTTATGCATTTTCTGAAGTATGTGTTCTTTGATCAAACTACAGGGAGGTGTGAATTGTGGTGTAGTTCAGTGGGTTGATCCTGTCTGGCCTGATGTACTTAAGAACTGCCTCATCAAGTTGTGGGAAATGTTCCATGAGCAAAACCTTGGAAGGATTCAAGACAAGCATGCATATGAGGATGAGGTTGCCAAGTTGAAAAAGGATTATGATCTGCTCTGCACTGAGTATCATAAAATGGTTGATGATGTTAGCAAGATGTTTGACTGGCAGGATGGTGTTGCCAAGATTGACTACCAAAAAGCAATGGATGCTGAGAAATTTGAGAAGCAGAAGGAAGAGCTGGAGATGAAGATGGAGAAGCTAAGGCTAGCAAAAGAACAGAGGTGTATCCTTCAGGCCCAGGCAGACATAATTCACAACACCGGGAAGGCAATGAAAGAGATAAAGGTGGATAGGGATCTTCTTGCACAAGAGAAGACAGACCTTGAGAAAGTAGTTGCTGATCTGCTGAATGCTGGCCATGGGAGCAAGGAAAAGCTTGAGAAAATTAAGGCCATACTGGAGGCTTGAAGATTTGGACAATGGTGGTTAAGTAAGTAAGGTGGCCTACACATATAACAGGCCTTGCAAGATGATGGTAGGAGTATATTTTGTGTAGTCCTATATGAACTGTTTAAGTTATGGTAACTAGAGTGGTGAAGAACCTTTGCTAAGTCTAGCTTATGTTATTGTACTGTTAAGAACCTATCTATCTTAAGTAATGCGGTGAAGAATTATTTTATTTTTTTAGGTTGTTTTCCTGAAAGTAGCAATACTAAACTAGTATATTTTTGGGCCTAAAACCATTATGTACACATTGTGGGCCTAGACTGGGCTGTTTTATTACTCCACCTACCTACCACCAACCATTAGTAGTCTATAAAGCCCACCCCTTGAGTGAAACCACAGTCAATCCCCCTATCCCACCCTTCTCAACCCCCCAGCCACCAAAGAAACCCTAGAATCCAAGGGAGAGATGGATCCTGGAGAGGTCATAGATGGAGAAGAAGAGGTGCCCAGGCAAGCCAGGCGCAAAGATGCAAGGAGGAGGGCGAGAAGGCAACTTGCTGAGATGATCCTTGCAGCACGCAACCACAAGGACATAGAGCAGTTCCTGGAGGCATTCCCCCCTGGTTCCAACCCTAGTGATGATGATATCATCTACTGGGAAAGGAGGAGGGCAAATTTGCATCCCTTTCAGGTCACTAGGCAGAGGTGGACTAGGATTCTGTACCCATGATGCTGCTGTTATGTTTCTATGTTCCTAGATATGTCTTTCTATCTATGTGATGTTTGAAGTTGGTGTAAGAACAATTTTGAATGAGCTATGTATGTGATGAATCAAGTTGTCTATGATGTAATGCAATGTATGAAGCCGGTGAAAGAATAATGTTGAATGATCTATCTATGTGATGAATCAATCTGTCTATGATGCAATTTATGAGTGAATCTTTTATCTATATTTGTATGTATGAATGAATTGATCTGGTGATCTTGATGTTTTAAGTTAGATATGTTATTGTTTGGTCAGATGGCCATATCTTGTTGTTTTAGATTTGATCTCTTAGGGTTTGGTGCCTAGATGGGCAAATCTTGATGTTTTAGCTTTGATATGTTAGGTTTTGGTTCTAGATAGCCACTTTGGGGTTGGTCGACAAGTAGCCACCCAAAGTGGCCAAATTTGGGTGGCTTTAGGGTTGGTCGACAAGTTCCACCCCAAAGTGGCCAAATGTGGCCACTTTGGGGTTGGTCGACAACTAGCCACTGTTGGAGTTGGTCGACAAGTTGCCCCCCAAAGTGACCAAATTGACCTAATCTATCAATCAATTATCAACAAAATAAATCACTTGATCTACATAACAATGCTCAACATAAGAAATAATTTCATATGAAACAATTCATAACCTAGGACATATCAAATCAAAATAGAGCTTGACAGCAGATAACTTAATTGTTCCAAGCAGTTCAAACACAGACCATATAACTTAATTGTTCCAAGCAGTTCATACATAGACCACATAACTTAATTGTTCAAATGAAAACAGAGTTCACTGCAAATAACACAGATAGCAAGCATGCCTAACGAGCAGAGTTCAAGGCATAAAGCATAGTTGAGTGCAACACATTCAATGGTTGCCACTGGCTGTGAAATACAAAGCAAGTTTGCTTGGGGCCTTCCTCTTCCTCTTAGAACCAACATTAGCTTGACCTGATGTTGATGCTGCCCTTGGAGCATTGAAACCTCTTGCACTTGACCTGGTGTTCTTCGCTGGAGATGATGCACTTGACCTGGTGTTGTTGGCTGGTGTTGAAGCAGGTGGTGGGTTCTTTCTCTTTCTTGATCCACCTGTTGAAACTGCAGTAGATGTGGTTGCCCTTGTTGTAGCAGATGTGGTTGCCCTTGTTGAAGCTGTTGCTGGTTTCCTGCCCCTAAGTGGTCCTAAAGCTGGAGCAGGACCTGCAGCTGGAGCTGGACCTGAAGCTGGAGCTGGACCTGAAGCTGGAGCTGGACCTGATGATGTGGCCCTAGCTGGAGGTGGCCTGGTTGGTGCTGAAGTTGCTGGGTAGGATGCCCTGTTTTCCTACAATTAAAAACAAGTTGTAGCTCACAAGATGTATGCATTAAAAACAAGTAGCAGATTTTCCTTGTTGAACTGGCTTAGTTACCTGGTGGTTGTTTTTCCTTTTCATAAACTTGGCCTTAAGTCTGTCTCCACACATTGTCCACTTGTGGCCTTGCAGACCACAGTTACTGCATGTTATTGTGCCCATCCTTGATGTATCCTTTGAAGCTGGCACCTCAAATTCATCATTTCTCCTAGCTGTCTGCTTCTTGCCTTTCTTCTCCCTAAAAACGGGTGGTTCTATGTCTGGCACTACAAGGATACCCCTTATAAAGCAACACAAATTGTACAACATTTTGACTATTTGTTGTAAAATTAATAATAGATACTCATATAAACGGTGCAGCATATGCGTTGCAGATTGATATACATATATGAAAATAAATAAACATAGGAAAGGAGAGAGAGACACGCGAGAAACAGAGCCTCTGATTGCCCTGGTCTCTCCCAAATCGCCGACACCAACCGTCTCGTCTCCCTCCTCCGCCCAACCTCGCCACCGGCCCTTCTCCTTCCATTCTCCATCTCGCAATCCCGGAGGCTACCGGATCCGCCGCACCCCCACCCACCCATCCCTCGCGCGTCCAATTTCTCTCTTCACACGGTTCCTCGTTGCGCCACCGGCGATGGCTGCTTCCGGTGACGTTCGGCCAATCCCGCCACTTCGAAACACATCCTGAGGTCCTCTCGCACCGCGGTGCCCTCCCATCCACCTAGATCGGCGCTCGCGGCCACCAAAGCCCACCTGCAACCCTCCCCCATGCCTAGGGTTTCGGGCGTCGGCTCCGGCGCCGTTGGCCATGTCGTCCTCGTTTCATCCGGTGAGTGCATCCCATCCTATCCCCTTGCTCCGTCCTATCTCTCTCCCCCTTTTTTAACCTCTACTCTTTTCTTCTCCTGTAGACGTGCAGGGAGTAACGGCCACTGGACAGCCTTGCTGCTGCTCGGGATGAAGCAACCATGTAGCTTTCTCCTCCTTCTTTGGCTTCAGGTGAGTTGGTCCACTCCTGTTAATCAATAATTTACCTCTAAAGTTGGATTTTGGCAGAAATCTATCCATCATATGCACATTAGATTCCCCTCCAGCAGTGTTGCATGCGCACCAGGGGCCAGGACAGAGCATATTAGCTAGCGTAATCACAATAAGATTTCCCCAGTAGTGTTGCATGCGCACCAGGGGCCAGGCCAGTGTTCCTCATTGCTCAGTAAAGAGGAATGACCACCCAGAAAATATAGATATTGAGCTAGATTTGCAAGTATGTTGAGCTCCATGCAGCCTGGTTTCAGTGGCTTCTTTGTGTCTTTTTTCTTGAATATGTCCATTCTAACAAGAACGGAAATAAGATGCTCTCTATCATTTCTCTAACAGTCTTGTATCTGTATGTAGAACTCGGAGGAGAAATCAGAATTGTCGTCAAAGTAACAACTATGGAAGGTAACATATGCAATTGGCTTTGTTTTCTTCAGACATGATTTGGCTAACTTTTTGCCTTGCTCAAATTCTAATTTGCAAATACATTTTTTGTTTCTGAATTACAGAGATAAAAAGGTGCATGGAGAAGGATGTTAACGGAGTGACAAAGGTTGCAAAACTCACCGGAATCAAAATGACAACACTAGAATAAAGAGGTGAGTTAACTTGTATAAGTTTATTTTACTATTGTTCAAGCTATCACAGACCGGCAGCGTGTAGAGGTGAGCATGGCCATCACTGGATCTGCACTTGTGCAGTAGGTTGGCTGCTGCTGGATGTGAGTAGAGCGGAGGCTTGTGCGGAGCAGGCTAGCAACACCTCTGACCTCCTATCTTTCTCTCTGTAGCTCCATGTACCATCGAGCCTGTGTGGATTATTTGCAGTAGCAAGTGCCGAACGGCAGCAGCTTGCAGGGCATGGTCTCTCCTGGGAAAGATTCAGTGCACGCTCGCCTTTGCTAGCCCTTGAACAGATAAGCACATTTCAAAAAAAAATTGGTTTGTTTAAGGAGTGCTCTTATATAAGGGTAGCTATTGCAAATGTAGTTCAAATGTTAGTTGAAAAATATTGAATTTGAAAACATTGCATGTGCGATAGCTGAAATGATAGTTGAATTGTACTCATTTGACAAATTATTTTGTCGACCTTTCTTTATTGTGGTTCCATAGCAAAGCATGTGCATGATGGTATGAAAGGTTAATCATGACGATTGCATACAAAATACGTATGCCCCTGTTGCAACGCACGGCAATTACCTCGTATATTTTTAAAATTAGAAATGTACAATCTGATGCATCTACACGAAAAAGACATAAAGTTGAGTGGATAAAGTAAACTTGTTATTATTTTGCTGAAGCTTGTTAAATTATTAAGCATATCAGCAAGCTAGTTAACCTTCTTTTTCTTTTCTTATTCACATGAGTCAGTCTTTCATTCTTCTCTAGTCGCATATACTTGCATGTGCTGCCTAAATATTTTGTTATTAGATACGCTAGTATGCATGTACAACATTCATGCAAATAGTGTCTAGTTTGGTATCTCTTTGAATTCATAATGGAATTTTTAATTAAAAAAAGCATGGAAAACACATCCTAATCAATGGGTGATAGAAGCATGATGTCACATGCATGGAATTAGCGTACGGCTTGGCCGGCTGGCCGGATTGGCCTACAGTACCTTGTTTGTCTCGGGCACAAACATAGATATATGCATATACATATTTGATGAATTGACGGACCTCATTTTTTATTTTTCCTTGAGAATCTCGCTCATGCACTTTTGGACTTATCATTATGTAAGATTATGTATACTTGTACGTGCATAAGATTGGTGTTACGTAACTTGCACATATCTGTTAATCCCAATCATCAATGAAGAAATCAATGGTGTACGAAAAAGGCATATGCGGCTGATTTTATTTTAGTAATATATATGAGTTCACATGGATTTTTTTAATATTTTGTGTGGTGGTCGGACTCTTCCTTATTCCTTATAGTTGGCACCCATACTATGCAATAGCAACGAATGAGTTTGCATGTGATTGTCTTGGAGATATCTTTTTTTAGTAGAAAAGGCATATAAGACTTGGATGAAAGATGTGCACGTGACACGCCAAACTGTTTTTACATCATTTTATTTGTACGTAATACTACATCTTTTTAATCTTAATCGTTAATATATAAAATTGATGATCAAGATAATTTAGTTTGTGTAGATGAACATGATTGCTTGTTTGTCTCTTGTTTAAATAATATAATAGATGGAACTTGATGACGCTTCACTTGTGTTGCACCTTTTTCCCTTGGTTTTGCAGTTGCATGCACCAACTGGATGGAAGGGGGCGCTATGGAGCAAGTCATAGATGATACCATGGAAGGTATACTCTCTCACTCTTCCTATTGTTCTACTACAATACTCTCGGTAATGCAGAAACAACAAAGATTACACTCTAATATCCTGCCTCTATCACTAGTTGCGTCATGTCAATGCATTGTGTGTTAACAGTTCATTTTGTTATTTTCCTTGTAGATTCAAAAGATATATGGATGATTATATGGGTGTGACAAGTATACTGCAATGATGTGATGATGATGTTCCGGTTCATGATGATGATGATGTTCTGGTTCATGATGATGATGATGGATGCTTTCAGTTTTAGTTAAGTTGTAGGGATGTTGTTCTTGTTGGATGTTGTTCCTAGGTTAAGTTTTTGTTAAGTTGTAGGGATGTTGATGAATGCTTTTGGTTTAAGTTTCTTTGTCAAAAATATATTTAGATTATACATCACATTTGGATGATGTACCCCTTTCATATCCACTATTGTAATCCAACCGTTTTATCAATATATATGTTTTCTTTCTCTTGTGAGTATATTCTTTTATTTTTTTTCCTCACTTGATATAGATAATTATTTCCATTATCTAGAGCATTAATTGCATATTATTATTAAAAATATATGCATGAACACCTGAAGCGTTGCAAATTCTTTCAAGCAATGATATTTGGATTCCTACACATTAACCACCAACGTATAAAAGTGTTGTAATAGTCGATTTTATGTGTTGTACTCTTGCAACGGTCCATTTTACTAATGAAAGTGTAAGTGTTGCATTATGCACTAGCAACACTGGATAAGGCAACGCATCCCAAAGCGTTGGTAAAGGCACTAACAACGCATATATAGACTTTTAGATACGGAAAAATCCGTTGCTATAGGTGGGGTCCTGTTGTAGTGTGGTGTGTTGGTGTTGGGCCAGAATTCAGGGCCAGTGACAGGGTAGATGATTGTGAATGTATCTTCATGGGCTACTTTGGATGCAGTCATGAAAAATTCACATCCATTCTTCCTCTCTGGGCATCAAATAATAACCCTTGATGGTTCATTCCTATGGTACTGAAAGTTTCTCAAAGTCCTAACATGAAGCTTTCTCAATGCCTTTCTAAACTCATACACATTGGTGAAGCAAAGGTCCTTACACAGCTGCACATGTGCATCAGTTACCTTTGGGTCATACCATTTCCTCTCTTTCTTCTTCTTCTTCAATCTTCTCTTCCTTCCAGAAGGTAGTCTTGGAGTCTCCCCATCTGAGTCAGAAATGCCCACATCACCAGGGAAGCAATACTCATCAGCTTCAGGTACAAAATCTTGAAACTTTGGAATCTCTGGCTGACTGTGAGCTCTGGAAGTTGGACCTGGATTTGTTGCTGCTCTTCTCACAGGCTTGAGTTTCTCAGGCCTGCATTTTTCCACAACTATTTCCTCTCCACTGTCAGCCTCTTTCTCCTCCTGCCAAAACTCTGAAACATCACTGTCACCTTCAAACTGTGGTCTGTCTTCTACAGCATCTCTTTCTTCTTCATTTCCAATATTTTCTTCACCTCTCTTCCAAGCCTTGTAAGATATCTTTATCCCTCTATAGTCACCCCTATCAATCTCAAAGTCTGAGGATGATTTGTCAATATCATCATCCTCTTGACTAGCAGCCTGTCCATCATCATCTCCACCATTAGCTTCTGAAATGTTGAAGTTACAGCTTTGCTTTGTGTTCAAATTAACTTCAAGAGGGTGGACCACTCCATCTTGTGACAGACTTAACACAAAACCAGGACCCCCCACTGGACCGCCTATTGGAATTTGTTCTTCACAAACATTGTGAGCCCTATTACAATCAACATCTCTATCTTCATTTGCCTTGGAAACAATGATATTGAGCACTGTGAAATCTGAGTGGTCTATCATTTCTTCAACTGCATCTTGACTGTCCAGAAGAAATAAACCTTTATGTCCAATCCCTTGTTCTTTTACCCAGTACATGTAGTCATCTGACCCATAGCCTTCAGTCTCAGTAAGTGCTATCAAGTTCAGAAATGTGATGTCTGAAACAGAAAACCTCCTTTCCATATTATCTCTGCCCTGGAAATGCAGCCTAACATCCCAAATTTTATCATCCAGCCTGCATTACATAATATGTTATTTGAAAAGCCCAACTAAGTAAGTGTTTTTACTACAAAAATTCAGTGCACACTAACTATAAAGTATGGTAAGGAATCTGAATCCAAAAAATGCTTCTCTGAATCCACCATGCATTTCTACTAAATCTAACTAATCCTTCAGTGCTAAGTCATACTGTTGCATCCAAAACATGCCACAGAGTGTTTACTCAACTATTATTCAGTGCATGTTCATGTTCTAAGATAAATCACAGCAGCATCAACCTAGGGTTTGGTCAAAAAACTAACTAAATTATGCTATGTTGTTTGAAATGAACAAGCAGAAATGCAGAAACTATCGAAGGAGCTCATAGGAGGAAAAAAGACTTACTCCACCCCTCCAAATGCAGAGGCCCAGTGCTGGGAGTTTGATAGAGGCTAAGGTGTCCCAATGTTTCGATGAGATGGTGGCTATCGTTTTCTATGGGAGTCGACCTTGACGATCCGACTACGAATGTGCGAGACGTCGCGCCTTAGCAATCGCTAAACCAACTTCCGAGGGTTATTGACCACGCCGGAGCACGATCAACCTGACCACGAGGGTCTGTTTCCTGCGAGCAAACGAAGAACAAGCAAGAAACTGAGATTGCAATCGAGATATTGCGAATATAAGATGAAAGCTTTATTGATCAAGGTGGGGTTCTGTGACGTCTTGGTCTGGTCGTTGGACACAAACGAAGTACGTGAAGTTGCAGCTATGGCGAACTTTTAATCTAAACAAAACCCAAAGTCTAAACGATGCCTAAGGGCTGTATATATGGAGGAAGAGGGGGGGAATTTCGTGGCCCTTGAGGGTGGGGTCCGAAACCAACCCTAACTCTTGTTTCCCCACACATACGGACTCTAAAAATAGCCTATACTTAAGTATTTCGAAATTACATGGGCCTGGCCCATTAATAAGGTGACGCAGCACCTAGAATAGCCTATGGACGAATATTATGAAGTGGCATCTTGTATATTTCGTCCAAGACTTCATGCACTCCTTATGGCGGCTTCAAAGTCCTGAAATCATCACTTGTAACTCCGTTCTTGATCCCCTTGCGCATGCCATCAACTCCATGCGTGTTCTTGCTCCAATGTTCATCCTTCTCCAAGCTAGGCCCTTCAATTGTAAGCAAAACAAATGTATCCAATTTAGGCAGCATCATAATCTCATGAACA